AAGGGCCTGGAAACAAAGCCTTATGAGGAACAGTTGAGGGAGCTATTTTTAGCTTGGAAAAGAGGAGACTGAGAGAAGTTATGATAGCCATCTTCAAATATCTCAAGGGCTTTCACATGGAAGATGGAGCAAGCTTGTTTTCTCCTGGTCTGGAATGTAGGACTTGTGGGATGTGAAGCACAGGATCAGTCAAGTACAACATTCCTAGAGTGAACACACATGGGGAGGAATGTTTGTCCAGCCAGCAGGTAAACTTCCTGTTTCCTTTTGGGCTGGGACGGACTTCCTCTGCATGTGACTAGAGGTGGGCGTGGCCTCAGCTGTGCAGGTAACGACAAAAGCACAGGGCAGGACAGCCATCTCTCTCTCTATGACTACTTTTGTCAAAGAAGCAACATCTGCTTAGCCAAAGATGCTCTCTTGGCCTCCCAAGAGAGGACAAAGGGACTGTCTCCTTATGAGATAGTTTCCAGGTGTGTGTTACTTTTCTAAGATAACCCTGCCTTCTGGGATCCGATTGTGAACAGAATGTGAGTGAGTAAACTCTTTTTATACTTTTATAGAAGACTGTGTTGTGCCTTATCTTTTATGGGGGAATAAGGGGAAAATACCAGAACAGTTATTATAGAGGCTTTAGCGAGCCTGAGCAAACGCATCTCTTGTGAGTTTAAAAAGGGGAATGTTACTCTGATAAATTGTAAACTTGTTTACACAAGTTGGGAAAGCTATAATAAAACAATATATCCTCTCCTGCATCCCTGAACATTCCCACAAGACTCAAATCAATGGATTCCAGTTACAAGGAAGGAGATTCCCACTATACATCAGGAAAAACTTTCTGACCGTGGAACGGTCTCCCTCGGGAAGCTGTGGACTCTCCTTCCTTGGAAACTTTTAAGCAGAGATCAGATGGCCACCTGCCATGGGTGCTTTAGCTGAGATTCCTGCATTGCAGGCGGTTGGACTAGATGATCCTCATGGTCCCTTTTACCTCTACAATTCTATGATTCTATTCTGTGACCCCAGATCCATCCATTAAAATGGGCAGGCACTTTGCTTTTAAACTGCACATCCTTCTTTTCCCAGTCTAGGTGTGTGTACATATTAAGGAATCGTGGTTATGCAGCTGTTTTGAGAACAAAGCTGAGTCTCAGGCCAGAGTGAATCAGATTACAGCTGCTAATGTTTGGTCCAGTTACTCCAGCCCCTACAGCAGGGATGGGGGAAGCTGTGGCCCTTCATATCTTGTTGGACTCCATTTCCCATCATCCCTGACCACTGGCCATGCTGACTACGACTGATGGGACCTGGAGTCCAAAAAACATCTGGCAGAGCTGCAGCTTCACCACCTCTGCCCTATGGCTTAAGGCCTAGCTACAAAGCACCCTTCTTCCTTTTTTATTTTTATTTTTTGCTACTTATATGCTGCTTTTCAACTGGGATGCCCCTCAAGCAGCTGACAATGGTTAAAACAAAAGCAATCTTCAAGCACACTGCTTTGAAATCAGCAGCCATAAAAGCAACAGGCAAAAGACACACACACACACACAAATGCAACAAACAGTAAAACAACAGGAGTTAAAACATAAAAACAGCAGCATTAAATTGAAAAGTCCCAGCGTAATAAAAATTGTCTCTGCTGCTTTTCTAGAATGACTCATTCCACGAGCCTGGCAAGCTTCCTTTGGGAAAGAATTCTATCCAGAAGGTGCTATCCATGAAAAGGTGGCCTTTCTGAGCCAAGTCCTCCTCTACATCCAGTTCCATCCTCTGTTCTGATCTGGGCTCTCTCATCGGGATGGGTGAATCTGACAATTTTGTTTTCTCTCAGTTCTCATTTTCTTAGCCTTAAGTTCAGTTCTCCACATTCCCACTTCAGTTTGCTTTTTTTTTTTTTTAGAAAGCACAACACAATGAAAATTCACCAACATTGTAGTGTTAATCTTTTCCAACAGGCACATATTTTTGTACGTCATTTTGCCATCTACACTTTCTTGCAAAGCAACATATATGCATATGCACCATCTGCATTTTTTGTACAGTGGTACCTCGGGTTAAGTACTTAATTCGTTCCGGAGGTCCATTCTTAACCTGAAACTGTTCTTAACCTGAAGCACCACTTTAGCTAATGGGGCCTCCTGCTGCTGCCGCACCGCCGGAGCACGATTTCTGTTCTCATCCTGAAGCAAAGTTCTTAACCCGAGGTACTATTTCTGGGTTAGTGGAGTCTGTAACCTGAAGCGTATATAACCTGAAGCGTATGTAACCTGAGGTACCACTGTACGTTACTTTAAGTATGTCAGCCTGGATAGCTCAGTTGGTTAGAGCACGGCGCTGATAACACCAAGGTTGCAGGTTCAGTCCTCAGACGGGACAGCATATTTCTGCATTGAAGGGGGTTGGGCTAGATCAGGGGTCTGCAACCCGCGGCTCCGGAGCCGCATGTGGCTCTTTTACACCTTTGCCGCGGCTCCAGGGCGGATACTAGCGATGGGAGGAGGCGCATTGTGTTCCCCGACACTCCCCACTGTGGCGGCCGCTGTACTGGCTGTGACGTTGCATGGGGGCGGTGCGTGCGTTAGTCACGCACCGTCCCGACGTCAAAACCGTCACCTTCCCGGTTTTGTGGCTCCCAGTTGTTGTTTTCTTCGGAAACGGGTCCGAGTGGCTCTTTTTGTCTTAAAGGTTGCAGACCCCTGGGCTAGATGATCCTCAGGTTCCCTCCTGACTTTATGATTTCAATACATTTTACCCTAGCATATGCTTTTTTTATTACAATACTTGGCTGGAGAACAGCCTTGCAAAAATATTAAGAACTGCAAATTTCAAAGGATGAACATGCTTCAGTTCCCATACCATTTCGGAAAGGGCATGTTTTCTAGATCCGTCTTCAAATGCAAACTGAATCATACTCCCGCATTCCTGCTCCCTCTTCCAGTCCATCCCAGAACTCTCACCACTCATGTTTCTGTCAGTATCCTTCGATTACAACAGGGCAGGTCTGGGGAACGTGCGGCCTTCCAGCTGTTGCTAAACTTCAGCAACTCACACCATCCCTTGACCGCTGGTCATACTGGTTTAGGCTGATAGTAACTGGAGTTAACGCGGGACGCGGGTGGCGCTGTGGGTAAAACCTCAGCGCCTAGGACTTGCCGATCGCATGGTCGGCGGTTCAAATCCCCGCGGCGGGGTGCGCTCCCGTCGTTCAGTCCCAGCGCCTGCCAACCTAGCAGTTCGAAAGCACCCCTGGGTGCAAGTAGATAAATAGGGACCGCTTACCAGCGGGAAGCTAAACGGGGTTCCGTGTGCTGCGCTGGCTCACCAGATGCAGCTTGTCACGCTGGCCACGTGACCCGGAAGTGTCTGCAGACAGCGCTGGCTCCCGGCCTATAGAGTGAGATGAGCGCACAACCCTAGAGTCTGTCAAGACTGGCCCGTACGGGCAGGGGTACCTTTACCTTTACCTAACTGGAGTTAAACATATATATAACTGGAGGTCCACAGGTCTGACAAAAGGATAAGGCGGTCTGACAAAAGATTAAAAAGGTAAAGGGACCCCTGACCATTAGGTCCAGTCGTGGCCGACTCTGGGATTGCGGCGCTCATCTCACTTTATTGGCCGAGGGAGCCGGCGTACAGCTTCCGGGTCATGTGGCCAGCATGACTAAGCTGCTTCTGGTGAAACAGAGCAGTGCACGGAAATGCCGTTTAACTTCCCACTGGAGCAGTACCTATTTATCTACTTGCACTTGACGTGCTTTCGAACTGCTAGGTGGGCAGGAGCTGGGGCCAAACAACGGGATCTCACCCCATCGCGAGGATTCGAACCACCGACCTTCTGATCAGCAAGTCCTAGGTTCTGTGGTTTAACCTACAGCGCCACCCGCATCCCTGACAAAAGATTAGGGTCCTGCAATTACAGAAGCAATCCCTGCTTCTGATTGGATCCTGGGATGTTCTGTTCTGGCTCCCACGAGAGCGCAGCCCTGAAAGACATGTGTCTCAACTGTCCTCTGTGGCATATTGGGGGGCATGGCGGGGGGGGGGGGCCGCAGGGGAAGTCTTGGGAAGCCCTGAAATTCCTGACTTAATAAATGGCAATGGGGTGGGGAATTGAGATACGGCGGCTCCATCTTTCGCCAGCTGTTCTGGCTGTCATTGCAGCTGTCGATTCCTTGTGGGGGGGGGGAAACGCAGAAGAAACCTGGGGGGCTGGCCGGTGCTCTCAGGGGGTCCAGTGTCTCCCTGCTGCTTCCAGGTCTACACAGCCACCATCTGCCTTGAGAGAGCAGGGTGTGGGGAGGCAGCTGTAAATCCAGACAGCGCCTAATCGCTGTCATAAATAACCATCTGAAATAGCCATTAAGAGGGTCGGAGTTCAGGTTGGCATGACAACAGCCGGCTGGTGGTGACTCAGATGTTGCAGCAGCCAAGGGGGTGGGACAGGCAAAGATGGAGAAGGGGACAGTGTGGGCCAGGCAGGACTTGGGAGAGTCCTGGCACTGGGGTGTGTGTCAGCAGGAGGTCAACCACTCCCAGGCTGGCATCCCAGAAAGGAAGGCTTGGGTTCATGCTGGTGCTTCCTCTCCAACATCTAATGGAGGAAGAGAATTACTCGATTTTTATTCAAGCACAGAGAAGGTTCCAGTACGGTAGCAAACAAGTCTAATGAGCAAACCACTTCTACGAGGACAGCTAGCACCATCGGCCAAAGGATCTCAACAGGTCTCAACAGACATTTCCATGCAAGGCAGAATACAGATTTAAATAGATCACTATTTAATTTTTATTTTGGTAGTGCCATCTCCCAACTATTAAATCATTCTCTGTGGGTGGAGATTGGAACTGAGTTCCGGCACCCCTCAGGTGTGCACAATTGCCATAATAATAGAACAGGGGAGGCATTCATTGTGAGTTCTGGCACCTCTTTTTCTAGAAAAATACATATGCACACACACTCATGCATACATATTGTTCAGCTCACACATCACACTTACTACCTGTATATGGGACTGTTGTGCACAAGACTCGTGCCCTGCAGAGTACAGGAAATTGCTAGATCAGGCTGCAAGAAAACAAATTAAAAATTAACAACATAGGGTGCAGAGAGCCATGAATAAGTATAAAACAGGGGAGGGGGCCTGACTTGAGGCTCTCTGGATGACGTTGGACTTTAAATCCCAGCAGCCCCAGTCAGCATGGCCAATGATTAGGGATGGTGGGAGTCACAGGTTTCCTACCCCTGGTAGATTCAGCAGCCTGTGATTTGACCAAGATGCCCGGATCATGAAAAATAAGCATACAAACATGCCATTGTATGCGCACACACCTAGAATTGCATATTACTTTTTTATGGGGAGATGGGTGGCAAAAGCAGCCCACTACCCCACCACTTGCATGGCATGTTATGCCTTCCATTTATGTCCCTCTCTTCTTCCAAGGAGTTCGGGGCAGCAACAAGGTTTCCCCCCTGATCCCATTTCCCCCCCCTCGCAGTAACCCTATGAGGTAGGTCAGACTGAGTGAGCAGTCCAAAGTCATTCTGCTTTGTGGCTGAGCGGGGATCTGAACCCACTCTAACAGCTGAATCCCATTGTGGCTACCTATTTAGGTGTATGAGGGACGCGGGTGGTGCTGTGGGTTAAACCACAGAACCTAGGACTTGCCGATCAGAAGGTCGGTGGTTTGAATCCCCGTGATGGGGTGAGCTCCCGTTGCTCGGTCCCTGCTCCTGCCAACCTAGCAGTTTGAAAGCACGCCAAATTGCAAGTAGATAAATAGGTACCACTCTGGCGGGAAGACAAACGGCGTTTCTGTGCACTGCTCTGGTTCGCTAGAAGCAGCTTAATAATGCTGCCCATATGACCCGGAAGCTGTACGCTGGCTCCCTTGGCCAATAAAGCGAGATGAGCACCGCAACCCCAGAGTCGGTCACGACTGGACCTAATGATCAGGGGTCCCTTTACCTTTATTTATGTGTATGGCTGTCCGTGTACCAAGGCTGAGACATGTATAAGCAGTACAAATGAAGGATTGTTCAGTGGGCAGAACCTTGCTCTTGGGTTCAAACGCCAGCTCAGCCACAGACTCCTTGAAGGCTTCGGAACCCAACCACTCCCAACCTTATCTGTAAAATTAGGAAAGCAGAAGTCTGTTTGACAGCAGTTACTGCAACAAGGAGCCAGACAATGTAATGTTCTTTGCTCCCCTCTAGCCTTAGGGATAAGGCTCAGAGAGGAGAGAGGGCAACTTCTCCTTTTAGATTTCATGACCAGCCTCTTGGGCACACTCAACCTGTTATGCTCTCGCTCCCCCTAGTGGGGGGCACCTGTTTGTATGCGTTGGTTGGCATTTGTGTTTCTTTCCAAAGGTCTCATATGCACACACCCCTGGGGGCCACTGACCTCCGACCGGGATCTATTTCTAAGCAACCAAGCTGAGCTGTCTCTTTTGGCTAGGAGACGCAATGGCTTCTCCTGCAGTTTTAATCGCAGCAGCCTGCGGTGCATTCTTCCTGCCTTCCGAGGCTCAGGGGGTTGCCTTTATGGTTCGGAACAAAGCATGTGTAAAGACTGTAATTGAATCAAAGATGGCAGGGGGCTCCGGCTAAGTTGCTGAAGAGGCAGCGGGAGCACTTGCTTCTGCCCGGTGAAGGGTGCCATCACATTTCGCCTCCCACCGAGCGTAAATACAGCAAGTCATTTAGCGTGAGACGCCAGCCTCATCAGCTTTGGGGCAAAAGGTACTGCAGTGGTAACTATCACACTTAAGGCGCTATGTCAGAAAAGGTTGCTATATTTCAAAAAGTAAAAACCAGGACACCCTGAAAGCTTTTTTGGAAGACCTCAGAATTGTTGGGAATTCCCCCCCGGACATCAATTCTGGGTCCCCAGTTGTTGTTGGACTACAACTCCCATCATCCCTGACCACTGGTCCTGCAAGCTAAGGATCATGGGAGTTGCAGTCCAACAACCCAAGTTTGAGAAACACTGCTAGTCACTACAATGCCCATGGCAGACTCTCAGTTCTAGCTTAGCACACCCTTCTCCCTTCTGATTCAGCATCACACCAAATAAAGATTATTCATTTGGGGAGATTATACAGTAGGGGTGGGGAGCAAGTGTGCTGGCTTGCCCCTGCAGTTGAGGGGGCCAGCACCATGCACCATGCTAACATCACTTGTGCATGCTGCTTGCCATGCTGATGTGTCATGCACACGCTGTGTGACTTCTGCAAGAGCATGACCACATCACACGGCGCGTGCACAGTCACTACAAAATATTGAGGGGCCCCGGGCCCCTCCTTGATAATTTTGGGGGCCCTTGGTCCCCTGGCCCCACTAGATGGTGTACCTGATGAGGAGGCTATAGATCAGGGGGCGGCAAGGTTTACCAGCCATGGGCCGGATCACTTCCACTGAGATTATCCGTGGGCCGGACTGGCGCAGTGCAATGGCGGAAATTGCATCTGTGCATGTCTGCGGCTCTGGAAATTGCTTCTGTGCATGCACAGATGCCAAAAATCGTGCCTCCGCAGAAGCGATTTTCAGTGTCTGGACATGTGCGGTATCTGCATGTGTGCAGACACGATTTCCAGCAAAGCTCAGCAAGTCCCCGCACCGCGCTGTGCCGGTTTAGTGCAATGCGCGGGGGACTCACCAAGTGGGCGGCTTGGTTCAGGGGTGGCTCGTGGGCCAGTAAAACGGTCTTCGTGGGCCGCATCTGGCCCATGGGCCGCATGTTGCCGACCCCTGCTCTAGATGTTGTTGGACTCCAACGGGCATCAGCCTAGTCAGCATGGCCAAATGATCAAGGGATGATGGGAACTGTAGTCCATCAACATCCAGAGGGACACAGGTTAACACCTCTCTCTGGGACACAAGCCTGGGCAGTATGAATTGCTCACCCATGTCAACCTTTCCCAGAGTCTGTGGTATTTTGCAGTGAGGCCAAGCTGCCCAATGGTGGCAGCCATGGAGAGGAAAATCAGGACATTCCAGGATCAAATCAGAAGCTGGGATGGCTTCTGTAATTCTGGAACTGTTCCTGGAAAATCAGGACAGTTAGAGAGTATGAAGCAATCTGTTCTCCTTTGATCTGATCACCCTCCTTAGAAATATTTGAAAAAGCATGAATACATCTTCTTCAGTTCCCTCAGGTGCTTGCTTCCAGGAAGTAGGTTGCATTGATTTTAATGGATCTTACTTCTGAAGTTGTTTGAATTTCACACGAGAACCCTTTAGGCGTTGCAGTTCCAAAGTCGGCTGGAAGCTGAATCATAGCTGTAGCTTCACACAACACAATATAAGTGCGCTCAGAATTACATCCTTAGTGCACATTAAGCATTGCGTACAAGTAACAAAATGCTGCCTTTCTTTGCCCACAAGGAAGAACTTCTATAATTATTCCCACAGAGGTGTACATAGATGAAAATGTTACACTGGAGTTAGTCGTTCATGTATGTCTTGTTTTTTCCAAGTCCTGTTTGTGATTTCCCCCTGAAATATCTGCCATGTCAGTCTGTTGAAGTAAAGCAGAGCTCTGTAGCACCTTGTATTCCATCAGATTTATTTTTCTTGAAATATACACACCAGTGGACAGTCCTGATGCAACGTTTTCCAAAAGCACTCCCATATGTCATGTGAGAAACAGATGTACTGCTGTTATAGCCAATTCTTCATCAAGGTGTTCTGTCTCTTAAAATAAAAAGTGGGTGTAGGTTCTTTAGGGTGACATGAGCTACCCCATCAAAGAGCTGGAAGGGACCTTGATCTAGTCCAGCTTACTGCAATCCAGTGCAGGAATATTCAGCTGTCCCATATGGGGATCGAACCTGCAACCTTGGTGTTAGCAGCACCATGCTCTAACCAACTGAGCTATCCATTTAAGCACACCCTTCCTTGAAGTATCAGGGATGCTGATTCCTGGAATCATCTAGAGGAGGGATGGGGAACCTGGGGCCCTGTAGATGTGCTCCCATCATCCCTGACCACTGACCATGCTGGCTGGGGCTGATGGGAATTGGAGTCCCAACGACACGTGGAGGACCACAGGTCTCCTGCCCCCTGATCTAGGGGGCCACAGGTTTCCCTGGTGTATTTAACATCTAGTATGTGACTGCAAGAGCCTGGGAGGAACTCCTGCCTCCCACCCACCGGCTACCTCTTGCTATCTGTCTCCGATAATCACTTGATGTCCTTTCAAAACCAATTACTAGATTAATTGACTCAGGGAAAAGATGTGGCTGAGGGTTGGAGCTGCCCAGATTTATTTTCTAATAGGCCGCAGCGGACATGGCTCGTGCCAGGGGAGATTTACCATCCCCCTAATTCAGCGACAGTTCAAATCTGTGATTAATAAGGTTTTTCTACCAGGCTCATAATTTACCTCTACTATTTTTTTTTAATCAGCGGAACCAGCAACCGGCCCCTCATCATCCTCAATTACAAAAATATTAAAGCTGCAGGTGTGGTTGCGTGGTCGCTGCCCAGCTGGGGAGTGTTTCCTTTAAATCACAGCCAAATTACCATAACAATAAGTGGTATTTGCATCTGAACGGCAGCAGCTGAGAGTTGTTTGGAGATTGTAATGCATCAAAGCCCTGGTTTGGGGCTTATTCCTACGGCTGCCTCCAGGGGCAGCAAGCCTCGACAGATGGATCTCTTCTGGAAGGTGCCTAAAGATCATCTTGCTTCTCTGAAGGAAGATCTGACCTTTACTCTCCTACACTGACCTACTATACTGACGGCGATGACCGTCCTCTTCAACCTGAGAACCTAGACTCTCTGCAATAACACTCACCAGCTGTGATATCACTGCAGCTTCTGAGCTGTGCATTAGGGAGCATTTGGCATCTCGACCTGAAAGGTCAGGCCCACCTTCCAGAATGAAATTAGAAGAAAACATAATCTCTGGGTCCTTTCCTTTTGCCTGCCAGATTGGAAGTGATGGGTAGGTCTGTCAGTACGCCTTTCAACTGATATGCAGCGACTGGGCTAAGCAACTGGAGCACTTTCAGAGATCTTCCAGTTCTGGAAAGCAGGTCCCAGTGCACTGGACCCACAACTGTGCATTGTGAGCACCAGACTCAGCAGAGTATAAATAACGTGGGAGCTAGCTGTGAAGCACAGCTTCTTTTATTTCTAATAGCTACTACAAACTAAAGAACTACTGGCTTGCATGAGTGTTACAGCTCCCACTCAGCCATCTAGTCACTACATAGATAAGACTCTCTCCACACACAGAGTAAGGCAGTCAGTCAGGAGCGGAAGAGTAGAAGAGCAGTTTCCGTCCCCTCCTTTCTCAAAACATCAGATCAGGAGATTCTCGCAATGGGAGGGGGTGAAAAGATCAACAAGGTCTTCCGTGTGCCACTTTTGTTCGGGTGAGTTCAGTCCTCAAGCAAAATTGCTCAGAGTTACAGCTCCCATCAACCTCAGCCAGAATGGTCAATGGTAAGGGACGATGGGAGTGAGGAGCCCAGAACATCTGGAGGGCATCAGTTTGGGGAAGATTGGTCTACAATGACTGGAATCCCTTTCCAGTCTTCCCCAACTTTGGAGACCCCAGGGATCAAAGCTGGGACTTTCTGCTTGCAGAGAAAATCCTCTACCACTGGCCTTTCCAGAGCAGCCCTGGCCATACCAAAAGCACTGTGGAGGAGACACATGCTTTGCTTCCAATCAGGAGCAAGTAGGGATAAAGGGCCAGAAATTTCAGGAGGACCTGATGTTGTGCCCCATACTTGGCAAGCTTTAAAACCGTTTTGCTAGAAAAACACATAAGCAGAAGTCAGGAGTATCTTGGTTGACATGGTATATAATTCTAGTGTATGGAACTTCCAGGTTGGCGCCATCGCCGAATGGCGGATTCCCTCCAAGCTCCGGAGGGAATCTGCTCGACAGGGGTCGGGTTCTGCCGCGCCGGCAACGTGGGGACCCTCAAAAACCACGGGCGCGGATGCCCGTGGACCTGGTGACTCGGCGGGCACCGTTTGCGCCCTCCCGACCCGCAGAGGAGCCTTTTTAAAGGCTACGGAGCGGGGGACGGGGAGAGGCGCAGTGCTGTGAGTCTATTGCTTCCCCTGCCGAGCGAAGCCGCATGCCATTCGTCGGAGAGCGCTGACTTC